CATCTAAACCTCACTGAGAGCAAGTCACAGCTGTATTTTAACTTGCATGTTTTGTTATGACCAGTGTTGGGGGTAACTCATTACAAGTAACGCGAGTTACGTAATCAGATTACTTTTTTCAAGTAACTAGTAAAGTAACGCATTACTTTTTTAATTTACAAGAAAATATCTGAGTTACTTTTTCAAAAAAGTAATGCCAGTTACTATGTTTTCCCATTTATTGACTGACAAGTCTCCTGTCCCCATATTGGGAGAAATCGGAAGTACAGAGGCGTTGTGTGAACGTGATGTTACTGTAGTTCTAGACTAAATGTGAATGTGCATTAATTCATCCCACTCACAAAAAACTGATTTAGTATTAATCAAAATGAATTAAAACAGTGAAATGCAAACTCAGAATATGACGCAAACCTGCAATAATTAAATGTGTTAAATAACACAAATGTATCTAATCCCATTTTATTAACTAATATCTTTGCTGCTGACCTTTGATGATCCAGTTCAACCATACTAATAAACAAAAATGACTTTAGATAAACTAACTATTGTGCTTCATTGTTTTTTTATTGCTGAAGAGTGTTTCTTCTCCTGCGTTCTACTGTACAGACGTGAATTTACTTTTGCTTCAGCCTGAGGTTTATTCATTACACTTTTTGGTGTGAAAGGGCTTTTATATTTGCTATAAATAGAACTTCTTATATTAAAAATAACCAAGCCCTGCTCATATTTAAAAAGTAACGCGAAAGTAACGTAACACATTACTTTCCATAAAAAGTAACTAAGTACCGTAATTAGTTACTTTTTTATGGAGTAACGCAATATTGTAAAGGAAAGCTGGCCTGCAGCTCATCTACAGGGTTTTACACAACTTACACTTTACAACTACAGTACTTCAGATGCGAGCACTTTCACTGTTCTTTGTACTGTAAATACTGTAGCACACAGCCTCAAACTCATAACTGTTGAACTGATTTGTCGCCAAGCACTTCTTACATGTGTTTGTGCAGAACTGAGGGGAGGCAGATAAGTCTTTTCTCAGAAGACTAAGAAACTGTTATAGTATAACAAATAAGGATATTTCAATCTGTGTTCACTGTATATCCTGTTGCTTGGTTTTTGAAGTTTTCTCTTCTAGTGCTTTTCATCTGCCGTAAGATCACTTTACAGTAGTGTAGTGAAAGTAAACTTTTCTTACAGTTTAATGCTGAATTTTACTGTATCTGCACCGCTCTATTTATGCTGCATACTGTAACAGATATTGACCTGCAAAATGTCTCCTGCTTCCCAAAAGCAGGTTTTTGTAACAGTGTTTTGAACTGATCTCACTGGTGTTCTCTAGTCAGGAAAATACTCTGTGTGTTTGACAGCTTTGTGTGTCATCTGAGGCCAAAGCTTGAGTCTGACAAAAGAGAATGTGTTTTTTGACTAAACTGTTTGATTTTGAGCTGGAAGTTTGCACAAGTTGGTGTGTAGTTTTGAGATTGTGTTTATAGTTGTGAGAAAATGGTGAATTGTGTGTTAGCAATCGAGAAAAACTGTAATAGCACATTAAGAAAAACATAATTAAAAACTACCTCTTCCTACAAACAAACAATTCACCATTTTCTAATGAAATGAGATCTGAAGAATGAATGCTGTATCAGATGCAGGTAATCACACTCGCTCAGTCCATCTCTCTCTCATAATACTCTACACTGCTTTAATACAGTAATACAATAAGCTTTCAATGAAGCAACTCAACGTCCATTCGTTACGAGTTCTAAAGTAATGTTTTGTAATTAGTAACGGAGCTGGGCTCAGCTGTTAAACTCAAACTGAGATTTGAATCTGTGGTGGAAGTAAGTATTCTGCACAAAAGAGGGTTTTTAAAGACACTCCGTTGTTATTTTGTTTATGTATTTACACACTCGTGCCGTCGAACTGTTGTATAAACGCAATATCAAAACAAATCTTTTCATAGGAATAAACTGAGAAGTACAGTGTCCTGGAGGACTACATTCTCTGTGACTCTATTGAGTCAGACTGAATGTGGCGTAACAGGACCTCAGTACCTGCGAGGTGTCGTGGTTGAAGATGATGGAGTTGAGGTCTCCACAGTTGTAGTGCTTGATCAGGTGCTCTGTGGTGTAAGGCACCTGCAGGCCCCCGGCGCGGAGACTCTCCTGCTGCAGCAGCGTCTGATTCAGAGCGAAGATCACCTGAAACACAAACCAGAGCTTTAGTGTTCATCCTGCACACCTGCCATCATGCTACCCAAACCTGCACGACTGACTGCTTTCTGTGAAGATATTCTGAAAATAAATATACAGTACTTATTTCATGCTAAGTATGCTACAAATACATTAATAAAAGGTTTTTTAATTGTGCAGAAGTACAATTAAGTATATACTTAGTATATTTGATTGTGCTAAAGTGGAACTATTGCAAGTATACTTCAGGTACATTTTGCATTTAAAGTCTGATATTATTCAAAGATCATACAATCCTCATCAAAAGTGACATTAAAACACATTTTAGGCTTAATATTAAGAAACGTGCATTGTGCACAAGTAGTATGCCAAGTAAAGTTTAATTATAATTTTTATATCAGTAAGTCTCGAGTTGTCTGTCAGTAAATATGTTAATAGATTTGAACTATACTTAGTATGAAATAAATGTATTTTAAATATATTACTTTTTTACTAGGGTTGGTAACTCAACAGTTTTGGTTCCCGCTGACTTTTTCAATTGTACTTTTTTGTCCATACAGTGGAAGTCAGTGGGAACAGAAACAGGAACCAACAGTCTTGAATTTCATCAAAATATCTTATTTTTAATAATTATGTCTTAACTTATATGTTACTTTGTGCTCCACAGAAGAAAGTTAGTCATACTGAGGGTGAGTAAATGATAACAGAATGATGATTTTTGGGTGAACTATCTTACGAGTAAAAGTACTTTAAAATCAATCCTAAATATAATTGGAAGCCAGTGTAAGGACCTGAGGACTGGTGTGATATGCTCAGATTTTCTGGTTCTAGTCAGAATCCTGGCAGCAGTGTTCTGGATGAGCTGCAGCTGTCTAATGGTCTTCTTGTGAAGGCTGGTGAGGGTTAGACCCCTAGAGTCAAGGTATGCATTCACCTTGAGAACTTCATCTTTGTTTCCAAATGCAATGACTTCAGTTTTTTCCTTGTTTAACTGAAGAAAGCTCTCGCACATCCAACTGTTAATTTCATCAGTGCATTGGCAGAGGGAGTCAATGGGGCTGTAGTCATTTGGCGATAAGGCTAGGTAAATCTGGGTATCATCTGCATAGCTGTGATAGGCAATTTGGTTCTTTCTCATTATTTGACTTAGTGGGAGCATATACAGGCTAAACAAGAGCGGTGCAAGAATTGAGCCTTGTGGGACTCCGCATGTCATGGACGTCCACTTAGACTTATGCTCTCCTATACTCACATAATAACCTCTCCCTTCTAAGTATGACCTGATTTGAGTACCATCCCAGAAAGCCCGACCCAGTTTTCCAGTCTCTCTAGTAGTATGTTATGATCGACAGTGTCAAACGCAGCACTGAGATCTAGTAGTACCAGCACTGATATTTTGCCAGAATCACAATTTAAGCGAATATCGTTTATTATCTTTATGAGCGCTGTCTCTGTGCTGTAATGTGGTCAGAAACCAGATTGACTCCAAGTTGACTCCTTTTATACTGCAGGTTCTTTGTAGCCATGTATTCAGCCCAAGCAACCGTGCTGGGAGTGGTCCGCTGATGAACGACTGAACTTTAAGTCTTTGAAGTGTTTCAAAGAGATCACTGAAATCCTTCTTAAGGAGTTCTGACTGCTCTTAGCTGCTGGCTGATACGATCCATGTTCAGTCACATTTGGGGATTCCTCACCCACATTCATTAATGCTTCAAATCTGTTCTCAAGGTGTATAGGGGGTGGTAGAATACCAGTGTTTGCAAGCCTTGTCATAGCTGTATCTGGGGTAGAGGATGCTACGGAAGCAATACAAGATACTCATGACAAGAACCACAATCCTTTGTAGAAGTCTGTGGCAGTTCATGCAGCAAGTAGATTCCACAAGAGACATTTTCTTTCTCTTCTGTTTGAATGTAGGCAGCTGTGTTTTCCCGTCTCCGCAATGTAAGTTGCTGGCAGTGGGAGGCAAAGAGTCTTCTTTTTCGTAGTATTATTCCTGTCCCGAAAAGTTTTTAGTTTAGTGTCTGTGCCAAAAATGTGTTGTTTGAGCACCGTGCTGATCTGCTGAAGTTAAAATCTTAGAAAAATCTGAGGAAAGTGCATAACAACAAGTATGTTGTTGTGCTTCTACTTTATGCAGTAAAGTAAAAGCACAACAACATACACAAACATGTGTGGATCACAAATGCTGCACTTACACACAACTTTTTTAGAGGCTTGATCAGTATATGAGGACTAGTGCTAGTGAAGACAGACAAGAAGAAGTGTTTGTGTCTGACGCTCCTGAAGGAGGTTCTGCTGAAGCGTGAGTGAAACTCTCACAGATCAAAGGCTCCGCGGAGGAGAGTTTCTCTTAATTAGTTCTAGCTGCCGCTTTTTGTTGCTTCTGCTGCTGCAGCTCACCATTGTGTCACCATGAAATTCCCCAGTGTTTACCCA